TACTCCAAGTTGAAATGTGGCATAAGAATGAAAAGAACCACTGGATTTCAAGCCTCTCTGAAAAAAATAAGAATGTAAATATCTCATTTTTTGAAAAGATCCATTATGGGCTAGGGATGTAGCTCATCTGGTCGAGTGCTTGTCTGCCATGTACAAAGTCCTGGCTGGCTTCATTCAGATCCCAGCACCACATTAACCCGGGCAGATGGCAGGTAACAAATAGTCCTAATACTCCAGAGGATGGTGAGGGCAGGATAATCAAGGTCATGGTTGTCTTCAGCTACATAGTGAATTTAAAAACAAATGTCTCAAAAAATTAAAATAATAAATTATATGTTGGATGTCAGTAAACAGAACCAATTTTCCCTTTTGGGGAAATGTCAAGTTCCACATCATGTATTCCATCCTATTTCTTTTGGGTTGTTCTGGGGTTGGGGGAGGGGAAGGAAGGAAAAGATGTACTCTTGGCCACTGTACAACCAACCAATCCACACACACAGCAATCAACTGTTATTTACAGCTACAGACAAATGTACATTCCTGACGGTAAAAAAGACTGGAGGCTCTGTACACAGTGCTGTCCTACCTAATTTTACAGCTATGAACTCAAGTATTTTAAACATTCAATACATTACATAATCCACTCCATGTAATTTTCTTTCTTTAAAGTGTCAGGGTAAAAATTATAATAGATGAAGCTCAAAAACCTTTTAAACATAATAATAGTAGCTCCAAAGAAATAAGGTAACAAAATGAAGTTCATATTAATATGAAGGTTTAAACACAACAGCAGTTTTAAGCACCAAATTAAACAGAAGTACTCTGTGGCAAGAATTCATTTCCTGTGTAAACCCAGTAGCTGTGGAAAGCTAATAGTTCAGGGAAACAACTCCCGGGTCCGAGGATAAAAAAGGAGATGTTGCCTTTGGCTTTAGTAAGTCCTAAGCCACACTTATATGAATACTCAGACTATTATAGATCCTGTAGCCGTTTGTACTTTCAATCATGCGTGTTTGGGCAGTATTCGTATCAATCAGAGAGAATGAAGAAGTCTCGATGCTGCAGCTGTCAGGCTTTTGTTTTGGTTTTTAAAGCTGACAAAGTCATGGTTAAGAGAATCTTTGGGTTGTATTTGAGATATTTACCTAAAAAAATCAGTTAAGATATTAAGTTATTTTTCAAACTGTAAAACAAGGAACCATTTTCAAAAAACTATAAACTTTTGCTGGAGTTAGTTATTTTTGCCTGATTTTCCTCAGTCCACTTCCTATTGCTAATAGCACAGGGTGGGGCAGGTTAGAGGCTTACTTTGGCTCTTCCCTCTCAAGTGGAACAGCCTGCCTGCTGTTCTTGTCTGCAGGTAGTGCAGGGCATGGCGTCACCAAGGCAGGAACCATGTGTGTTGTGTGTGCTGGTCTCTTCCTCTTCGTTATGAAGCCCCCATCCCAAAAGACCTGGGCTGGACCCTAGAACCCCTGCAGGTTGTCACTTGACCCACACACTGCCATCATGGGATTCCATCATGGGGACCCCACCCCATGATCCCAATTTTATCACCTCTGAATATACCTGAATACCTCTAAATACACCTGAATATACCTCTAAATACCAAGTTTACCCTCTCGGTTACCCAGTGAGGATTAAATTTCAACCATGTTTTACAGGAAAACTCATAGCATTTCCTTCCTCAGTTGAAAATAATAACAGATATAGATTTTATTTATTCTTTTCTGCTTTTATAAGTGAATGGCCAGAAATAGCTATTGCTTAATTTATGAGATTAGACACTTCTAAAGTAATGCAATTACTGGAGATTTGTAGATGGCAACCATTTATTTATATTATCTTGTTTGCTCCATGAAGACATTTTTCATTTAGACTGAGAAGCAATGCCATCATCATCATCATCACTATAATTTTGAGACAAGAGCTCACTCTGGAGCCCATGCTGGCAATCATATCCAGCTTGAGCAGCAATTTTGTAAGAGGGATTAGACAATGTCACTCATGAGGACATTACTAGCCAATCAAAATTAGGGTGCTGGCTAAGCTTCCCAGGGTTGCTTTACATGACACCTCTTTTTTTTTTTTTTTTTTTGGTTTTTTGAGACAGGGTTTCTCTTTGTAGCTTTGCGCCTTTCCTGGATCTTGCTCTGTAGACCAGGCTGGTCTCAAACTCACAGAGATCCGCCTGCCTCTGCCTCCCAAGTGCTGGGATTAAAGGCGTGTGCCACCACAGCCCAGCGACAGCTCATATTTTAACAGCTACACTTCAAAAAAAAATCGAATAACCATACGCTGAGAGTTGCATTTAGGGGTCATGGCTATTGAAATCCACCACCAATTTCTGTTAAGAATTTATACCTAGGGCTACTGAAAAACGATCAACTATTAGTTTATTTGGAAATCAAATGCAAGTTCCCTGAGCTTAGCATATATACTCGGATAGCCCCTCTGGCTTTCAGAATTACTTTAACAAAGAACTCAGAATCACTGAATGGCATTTCACCTTTGAAAGACATTCAGGTGACATTCAAATATGAGCGAGGGCATGAGGTATTAATAGTCCAAATTATGTATGAAGCATTTCAGAGTACTAGAAAGGACTTCATTGTTTGCCCACTTTACAGATGTGAATACTGAGAAACCAGAATTTATGTTTGAAAATAGTAGCTCCTACTGGGACCCTGCAGAAGTACTGACAGCTCTCAGCTTCCCATCACATAGCATGAAAATGCATGATTTGGGGAGATTTTATATTGACCTTAAATTCATATTTTGCCTTTATTTGGGCCTGTTTGCCTATTTAGTATTAATGCTCTAAAGGCAGTTCAATACACGTCTATAGACCTGTAG